ATTTCTTTTGCTAAAACAGCGTTGATCTCTCGTGGTCCTCCTCATCCCTATCTTCTCTATGTCTTATTTTCCACATCTTACCCTTCAGATGCTGCTTTTCCCTGATAGCTTCATTTCATTTTGTTAGCACCAGTGAGATCCCTCATTATGTTTCAGGACAGTTCTCATCAATATTTGCACATGGCCTCTTTCAGGTATCGGCCTCAACAGTCTAATTTGTAACCACTGAGCCACAAGCCCAGGAGCACGTTCCGCAGATGTTTATTTATTCTGCTGCCATGCTCCCTTGCACATTGTATAGCCTTTGTGTCACCCACAGTACATGTACATCTTTCTGTTACGTTTTTGCTGCTCCATCTAGTCATAGGCATAGAGGCCACCTTGTCTGACACGCTGCATGTCACAGACCATAAAATTACACACACACACACACACAGAGTATTTCTTTCAAGAAAATCCACAATGTTTTCTCTGAATGAGGAAGAAATCTTTTTGACAAATAAAGCTTCCTGAAGTACAATATTCAGCTTCTTCTGGACGTCTCCTATGCACTTGACTTTTTTTTTACACTGCTGCATTGCAAAATCCCAATTAATTTATCTTCCCATCCAGCTGGCACCTTTCTGGGCTCCATCAGCAGTACCAAGCTGCTGTGACAGGAAAGGCAGCATTCCGACCGCCTGCGGGGCATGGAGGCCAGCCTGACCTCTCGGGTTTCTGCTCTATGGCTGCACCAGCCAACAATATCTAGGTTTCCTTGTCAACCCTAAGAATGGACAAGATTGTACAGCTAGAATAGTGGGCCATTGTAGAAACCAGTCAGATATATACAGGACAGAAATGAAACGTAAGTGGCCATTCCAGGATATATCTTGTTTGACTATTTCTGATTTTTCAAGACCTCATATTGGTTACAACTATTGACTGTTATATTGATTGAGTATGTTGTTTCTGGTTTATCTCTCTGGAAGCAAATACTTTTTTCTAGACCTTTTTTTTTTTTTTTTGATTTAATGAAAAATAGCATTTGTACAGAAAGTGTCTGCTTTCCATAAAAAATTTCAAGGTAGCGATACTAAGAAGTCTTCAAATTTAGAACCAAACTATCTAATGTAAATGCTTCTGTGTCACAGTGCATGCTGGAATTCAGACACTGGGAACATGATATGTACTGTGCGCCATGTTTCCCAGACACAGTCAATCAGCCAGGATATGCTGTGGCTTTCATATTCCCCATGGTATCAGGTAATATCAAGTGATCATGATGCATGGTACGAGATATAGCCCTACTAAAATAAACCCAGCATATAGACAAAATAGGAAGAGTGAAGCACCTAGTCTACATTTGTGTTTACATACTATAGCAGGTAAGCTTCACAAATCCTGCAGGTCACAGCTATAGTTGTTATAACGCTGGTGGTGTATACCATGCAGGCTCAGTGATTGTTCTGGTTGGAATTATTAATTTTCACTCAACATTTGCAACAGTTGGTGCTTGTAAAATAAAATGTTGCAGACTTTGGTTCTCACACCTGAGTGGCCAGCATCATCTCTTCTGTTTTTATCTTCATAAAGCAAACCTTGCAAGACTGCTGTAACTTATGTAAAATGGAGGCTGACAAAATTTCTAGCAGAAATACACTTCACACTGAGGTCACAAAAATGGAGTTGTCTTTCACAGTCCTTGCAGACCATCTAAACAGGATTGCTAGTTGTGTCCATGCACCTGTCCAGTGTAAGGATACCCTTGAAATCTCTGTCTCAAGATTTTTGAAAACAAAATGAACAAAAGTCAAGACTTTATGCATGGAGAAACTGTGGTGGACTCTTCTAGCCTGGAGAACAGGAAGGACATAGCTGTTGAGCGTTAACCCAGAAGCATGCCTGCCTCCATAGGCTGCAGCCTCTGCATCAAGGCAGTAGCTCTCCTCCTGCTGTATGAAGCTGGTTGCTTTCTTTCCTCATTGTCCCTTTCTTTGTGGTTCTATGAACAGAATTAAACTGTTGAACTCAGTTGCCAGCAGTGTTTCAGAGCTGCCAGGTCCCACAGAAATGTATCATATTTTGGGTACAGCACAGTACCTGTGCCGTGTGACAGGACAGGATTAAATTAGATGTCAGTACATTATTCCCAGCAGTTTAGAAACTTCTTTCTACATGGGACTTGCTAAGATGTGTACTGATTCCAATTTCATTAACAAAAAGATGTTAAAATCTGAAAATGTCAGAAAAAAAGGCTATGGTCTTTGAGAGTGATGCTTATTGTTCTGCCTGCATTAGATCTTCTGTTGCTGGACCATATGAGAAGCCAAGACAAGCTTAGACTTCTTTTACTTTTTGCATCATGCCAGCTCTGCACAGCCAGCAACAATTGCATAAAGATCCTTCCAGAGACTCCAGAGTTGAGTGTAAGCAAGCATCCTCCTCTGCTGCTTATGCTGAATGAGCAGTCCCCTCCTCCCCGGAGACCGAATGTACCCTTTCCATCACAGACTCAGCCTTGCCTAGCCCATGGCACAAAAGTTTCAAGTCTGTCTTGCACCTGATTCCTCTTTGGATGTTAGCATTTGGAGCCGCTGCTTGCTGCGGTTGCCCTGGGCCTTCACACATCTAAATGGGCTCTACAGTCAGCTCAACATAAGCACAAGTCTGTAAGGAAAAGACGTATGGAGGTAAAACACAGGATGCCATTCTTACAAAACTCTGAAGAGTTTGTCAGCTCTTCGGTCCTAAGGTAAATATAGAAATGGTAGGAAAGGAGTGGAGCTTAGGATCTTTGCAGTAACGTAGAACTGCTAATCAAGTATATTTTGAGGTCAGTGAAATGAAAAGTTCTTATTTTCAGATTGTTGGCATCAGGTCACCTTATCCGATTCAAAATCTGCCTATGCAGTAATATTTAAGAATTTGAGGTATTTATTGTAAGCATTTTCTTTATGTCAAGAGTGTGAGTAATTCCTGCTTTCGTAATAAATGGTGAGGCTAGGAGAGCTGGGCTAGGAAGCACCAGCCAGCAGGTGCAGAGACCAAAATCCTTCCGCTTTCAGGCTGCAGAATTGTAATACAAGTTGAACTCATACTTCTTTCACTACTGTTTTAGATACAAGGCCTAAATGTTCCTCTGACTATACCTCAGTTCTGTTTGGTCAAATTCTTCCAAGAACATAACTGACAAAACCTATAGCTTGAGCTTAATAAAAATGTTTCCAGAAAGATAATATTGTTAAAACTGTACTTTAAATAGAACAATATGAGGGTAAACATCTAAAATTTGATCTTTCTAGAAAAGGTGGGGTTTCCTTGCTTTTCTTGGTTAAAGAAATGCAAATAAACCTTTGTTGATCCTTTAAAACAATCTGTTTAAATTCATCATCCCTTTCATCATCATGCCCATTTATCTGGCAGGCTTTTACTATAAAATGCAACAGCTTACCATCATGGGTTAAAATTTATAACCAACCTTCCGTAAAAGAAAAATTTATAGATCCCTGTACTCACTAATACACACTTTTAGCTATCTTTATGCCTGAGTCAATTCTTCCATCAAGAAACCTAAAGATAGTGTTGACCTTTAAAGGGATACCTGTAAAGACTGAATTGAGCGGGTTTTATTGTTCCTACAAAAACCTGGAATTCTTTTGTGTTTTCTCCAGTGCTTTTCCACTGAGTCTCAACTTATTAACTGTGTCAGTAACACAGGCATCTCTCCTTTAAATAACACTCTGATAGCAGTGATTGCAGGGAACGTATACATGTTTACATTATTTTCATCTTTCCTTCTTGCTGGTGTTTTTAAATTCGGTCAACATTTGGCCAAAGAAACAGTCTTATTTTGGGACTCCAAGCACCAGATCCACCCATTGCATGCAAACAGTTGAGGTTGTGAATGAGTACATTGTGACATTCCTAGTTCTTTCTACTTCCTGTGCTCAGATTTGGCTAATGCATTGTCAATGTCCTTTCCTTTTTTGACAAATATGTTTTCTGCAAAATGTCAGTTGTGCCACAAAACCTTCAGTTCAGTTCCGTGACTTCGAATTTGTTCTGTTGTTTAAAAGGTATCCAGCTTAAACAATGTCTTCAGGCTGAAGCACTGAGCTTCATTAGACATGTAGGTCTCAAAGCTACAAAATAAGAACTTGCACATTTCTAAAGCATGTTTTATCAAGCCATTTCAACTTCCAGTGCTAATGAATTCATGCTGGAAGTTTTTATGAATCTTTTTAATCCACTCAAGTGGATTAAAGGGCAAAGATCTACTTTAAAATACTTCCCTGAGAAGTTTACTCTTAGTTTCAGTGGGAACTCAGGCCAGCACTTAATGCTTCCCTTTCCCTTTGCATCTTGCATTCCATGTTACACAGTAGTTTTGAAGGCTGCAATTTCAGAATAACTTTAAGGTAACTTAATCCTGTAAGATCTATTCCCCACATCTGTCCTTCTAAAACACAGGATACAAGTTTTAGTTTTCACCCCTTGCTAGCATGAAGTCATGTCATTCAAGCTAAATCAGAAACTGATCCAGCTGAGAATTAATGAGAAAAAAGTGGAGACCTGTTTCCTCTTTCTCTGATAGGAGTCACGGCAAGGTAATGTAAATGCTCATGTCAGGATTGAGCAGTCAGAGCTGGGCAGTTGCACAGGCTTGGGGCAGACAGAAGTAATCAAGTAACTAGAGTCTCCAAATGATATTTATTTAAACACGGGGGCAGGGGGGTGAAATCACCTCCAGAATGAAACAGTCTAAATAGTTTCACAAAATTCATTGTTATTTTCATGTGCACTATTTATCGGGAATTTTTGGCTTTGTGTTTAATACTGAAACATTTTGCAACAGCCATCTTTAGAAATAAAAAAAAATGAGAAAGGTAGCATTAGAAAGAAAATATTCTTTTAAATCTGCTTTTTCCAATAACTTCAATGTTTTCAACATTTTGCTATTGCAAAGCACTGTTCACTGTTTCATGCAAACTGTTTTTTATTCTCCTCCTCACAGATCGAATTGCACAGAATATCATTAAATCTCATTTGGAGACCTGTCAATATACAATGGAGGAACTACACCAGCTAGCGTGGCAGACCCACACATATGAAGAAATCAAGGTCTACCAGAGCAAGGTACAATCCTGTAATATGCTTTCTCTTCTGCTCCTACTGGTTTGAAATTGTTGACAGTGTAATATATTTGGCAAGGATATGTTAATGAGCTTCATAGAGGTCAAAATAAGCTTTTAAATATCTTTGAGGAACTGATTACCAAAAGCAAAGGAGTGACATTTCATGAAAAGAAGCAGCAGCTTTCCAGCATGTTAAGATGTTTGCTAATGTGGAAGCTTAGGCATGGTTATGGAATCCAGCTTTCCATACTTTGCTTGTTATCGCAGGTCTAAACTTCATGCAGATACTCAGTTGACTTTAATGCTATCAGGATTGGATTCTCTGTTATGAGGATTTTTAGAAAATAAGACAACCTAACTTTGTTTCCTTATAATTTTGAAAACACATCCCCTTTTTATGTGAACAACAAATATCTGTCACTTATAGGCAATACATAATGACAAACTAAAAGTAGTCCTTAAATTGAAGTTGTTAAAAACTGGGTGGAAAAATTATTTCATTACACTACTTTTTTTTTAATACCTCTGCAATTCTCAGGTCGACTATTTCGCACTGGCACCTCTTCAGAGGTAGTCCAGCCAACAGAAATCTTTGTGCCTCTTGCACCAGCATCGCTAGCAAGGATTCTTCAGTCAGATTTCAGTTGGCACATTAGCTAATCACGCAAGAGACAGAAGAGATTCCAGCTTGTTCTTTGAAAGCTGAGGGGCTATGTAGTACTAACAAGAATAAAAACACACCACAGCTTGCAGAGCTGTGACATACAAACCAAGAGCACCCGTTTACCTTTGCACACTTGTGAGTGCAAGGAAAATTATTATGAAGGAGGCAAAATTTTGCTGCGATCAGTGTTCAGATTGCAGTGATACTTCAATTACATATTAAGTTTCAAATATTCTGTGGGATAACTCAATAGCACTCCGCCACTTCTTCCCTAAGCGTAGTCTGGGATGTTTGCATTGTTTGTGCCGCTGTTGGTCTACCTTGCACAAAAGCTGACATTAGAATCACATTTTAAGACTGGGCAGTGCATTCTCCTGCTTTGAAGAGGCAATGGCAGCATGCGGATCACTGGGGCAATCCGCTTGGGAACACAGCCTTCTCATGAACAGTGTCGGGTACCTTGAGAAGCAGAGATGCTCCTAGCCCTGCCTGGGGGTGGGGGTGGAGTCTGGGGAGTGCCCCTTTCTGCAAGGCCACCTGAAGCTCTTTAAGCACTGATGAACCTGCTTGCTCACTGCTTTGCTTTTCCATCTGTGTTTCCCCGGAAGACCAGAGAAGCTCTGTGGCAGCAGTGTGCCATTCAGATCACCCATGCCATCCAGTACGTGGTGGAGTTTGCGAAGCGCATAACAGGCTTCATGGAGCTCTGCCAGAATGACCAAATTCTCCTCCTTAAGTCAGGTGGGTAAACACCGGAGGCTTGAGACTGGTTTAGCACCCGGCACGTTAGAAATGTGCTCTGCTGTCTTGTTCTGCAAATCATTTTAATTTTGAAGGAGCCTTAATTTCAGTCTGTTTCATTAGCTACATTAACCCTTCCCTATTTTTCCACATTAATCACGTTACTGCCTTCTGATCCCCTTCTCTCTACAGTCGGTTGTGGTTATTAAGTACACGCATGCACACAATCGCTGCAGAAACTGCAGTCTCCAACCTGACATGTGGTGGAAGGACCCTGCGAATTGAGCTGGTCGAATCAGTCATCTGCCACCCTGTAAAATCCCCACTTGTCATTAGTGAAACGAACGCGGGTTCACCGGGGCCTGCCTCTGTGGTCATCTCTAATCTTTTTAATGAGACTACAGAAATACCCTCCAGCCAGTGCACAGGAGGGAAAATCCCTGCCGGCGCCAGTTGGTTTCAGAATAAATGAGAGCGGATTACGGCAGTGCGCTCCGGCCGTGCTCCCTGTGCGTGCCTTGGTGTGCACGTGTGTGCAGAAGGGCAAGGGGGAAAAGGGTTTCCCTCCCTGTCATGGGGCTTGGTAATTTCTGTCCTGCTGAATCA